CTTGACCTCTCGTGCCAGGAATCGCTCTCCCAGGCCTCAGGCCTGCTGTACTTCTGGTTATCGGCACCGGAAGTTTCCATAGGCCTGCCTGAAACTCAGCCCTGGTCCTCACATCAGTGACTGTGAAGGTGGCACCTCTGCCTATGTTGCAGTCCTTTCCAGCAGCCGGTGCATCACCAGGACTCTGCCTGTTGCCTCATGTTTAATCCAGCAGCACACCCTTTCCCCAAATTTCATTAACGCATCACGACTTTCCTCTACCTCTTCGAACTCTCTAGACTCTCTCTCTCCAACTCAGGCTCTGGCCTCTCAACTGGTTCCCTGGCCACTCTTCTCCCAGATTATTTGTCCACAAAGCAAGGCGTTGGGTGGGTGACCTTTCAAAAATGTGTATCAGATCATATCCCTCCCCTTGGAATTCCCCTTGTTTTCCTTTTGCTGCTGAAAAAAATGACTATGGTTTTGGTGGTTTATTTATTTTTTGACATGGAGTCTCACTCTGTTGCCCAGGCTGGAGTGCAGTGGCGCGATCTTGGCTCACTGCAACATTTACTTCCTGGGTTCAAGCAATTCTCCTGCCTCTGCCTCCCAAGTAGCTGGGATTACAGGCGCCCGTCACCACGCCCAGCTGATTTTTGTATTTTTAGTAGAGATGGAGTTTCACCAAGTTGGCCAGGACGGTCTTGATATCCTGACCTTGTGATTCACCTGCCTGGGCCTCCCAAAGTGCTGGGATTACGGGTGTGAGCCACCTTGCCCAGCTGGTCTTGGTGGTTTAAAACAACAGAAATTTAATACTCATATTCTGGAGTCCAGAAGTTTCACGGCCAGTTTCTCTGGGCCAGAACTAAGGTGTTGGTAGGGCTCTGCTTGCACCGGGGTTCTGGGGCAAATCTGTGTCCTTGCCTTTCCCAGCTTGTGAGCTGCCTTCTGGGTTTGTGGCCCCCTCCTCCACCTTCGTCCACAGTGTGACATCTGCATGTTTCTCCCTCTGCTGCAGCTGTCCCGTTGCCTCCTCTCTGCTGTGTGCGGCAGAGCCACCCCCTTATAAGAACACCAGTGGTTCCATTTAGGCTGCCCCCAGATAATCCAGGATAGTCTCTTCATGTCAAGATCCTTCATTTAATCACATCCACAGACTCCCTGTTTCCATGTAAGGTGATATTCACAGGTTCCAGGGTCCGCACCTGGGTATCTCTGGGGGCCATTCTTCATCCTCCACATTCACGTGGCCCAGCATTGCCCACCAGCTGAAGTCCAGACTCCTCACCAGGCCTGGGTTCTGCTGGTGCCACTCCATCTCGCACAGTTCCGAGATGCCTGTGCTTTCTGCCTGGACACATTCACCCTTCATCTTTGCCAACACTGAAGTCTCCATTTAGAGGTCTCCTCCTCCAGAAAGTCCCCCAGGACCCTGCCCTCAACCATAGGCGTCCTTCCTGTTGGCCACCATAGCACTCACCCTCCCTTGACGGAGCCCTCTGCCCCCACGCACCCCCCTCCTCCACATGCCTTGTTTCCTTGGCTGCCGGGCCACCATGACGAGGCACGATGCTTAATACATTGTAGACACACAATAAATGCTTGTTGAATGTGTCAATTTACACACGTGTAGAAGGGGCACCTTTTTAGAAAAAGGGGCACTCCCTAGTTATGGGTAATTATCACTTAAAAAAGAAAAGCTTTCTCACTAGCCTGACTTTCCTGTTTTTCTTTTTCTGCATTACATGTGTACTCCAGTCTTCATGATCAGATTATTCTTCCTTTTTGGACAAGTTAAAAAAAATAATAAAATTTAAAATTTAGAGAGACCAATTGTGTTCTCAGGGTACCACTTTTGGGTACACTGGTAGGGTCTCAGCTTTCTGAATGGAGTCAGCCCATGGTCACTTGCAGTAACAAGTTACCAAAACTTAGTGACTGAAAACAACACTAATTTATTTTTATTTTATTACTTTATTTAATTAATTAAGAGATGCTCTCACTCTTTCAACCGGGATAGAGTGCAGTGGCATGATTGTAGCTCACTGCAGCCTTGAATTCCTGGGCCCAATTTATCCTCCTGCCTCAGCCTTCCTAGTAGCTGGGACCAGAGGTACATGCTACCACATCTGGCTAATCTTTTATTTTTTGTAGCGATGAGATCTCCCTGTGTTGCACAGGCTGGTCTTGAACTCCTGGGCTCAAGTGATCCTTCCTCCTCAGCTTCCCAAAGTACTAAAATTACAGGTGTGAGCCACTTGCCTGGCCTTATTTTATTATTTCTTTCTTTCTTTTTTTTTTTTTTTAATAAGAGATGGGGTTTCACCTTGTTGATCAGGGTGGTTTCAAACTCCTGACCTCAGGTGATCCACCCATGTTAGCCTCCTAAAGTGCTGGGATTACAGGCGTGAGCCACCCCGCCTGGGTATTTTATTATTATTTTTTTAAAGACAAGGTCTTACTCTGTTGCCCAGGCTGGAGTGCAGCAGTATGATCATAGCCCACTGCAGCCCTGAGCTCCTACCTTAGACTGCCAAGTAGCTAGGACTACAGATGCTTGCCATCACATCCAGCTAACTTAAAAAAATTTTTTTTGTAGAGACAGGAGTCTCCTGCTGTTGCCCAGGCTGGTCTTGAACTCCTGGCTTGACTCCTCACTTGAACTCCTCGAGTGATCCTCCTGCTTCAGCTTCACAAAGTATTGCAATTAGAGGCATGAGCCAACATGCCTGGACAACACTAATTGATTATCTCACAGTTTTGTAGTTCAAAGGTCTGACATGAATCTCACTGGGCTAACATCACGGTATCAACAGGGATGTGTTCTTTTCTGGAGACTCTAGGGCGAGTCCGTTTTCTTGCTTTTCCAGCTTCTAGAGGCTGTTTATGTCCATTGGGTGATGGACCCTTCTTCCAGGAGGTCCAATCCTTCTCACATTGTGTCACTATAATACTGGCATCTATGTCTTCCTCTTCCACTTAAAAAAAATGTTGTGGGCTGGGTGCGGTGGCTCACACCTGTAACACCAGCACTTTGGGAGGCCAAGGCAAGCAGATTGCTTGAGTCTTCCTTTAATTGAAACCCCATCTCTACTAAAAATGGAAAAAACTAGCTGGGCATAGTGGCACATGCCTTTAGTTCTAGCTACTTGGGTGGCTGAGGTGGGAGGATCACCTGAGCCTGGGGAGGTTGAGTCTGCAGTAAGCTGAAATTACACCACTGCACTCCAGCCTGGGTGACAGAGTGAGTCCCTGTCTTGAAAATACACACACACACACACACACACACTTATATAATGGTAAAATACACATCAAGTTTACCACCTTAACCATTTTTAAGTGTACAGTTTAGTGGCAATAAGTACCTTCAGTGTTGTGTAACCATCACGGCCTTCTACCTCCAGAACTCTCTTCACTTTGCACACTCTGTACCCGTTAAGCTACTCTCCATTCCCCCTTCCTCCCAGCCCCTGGCAACCACCATTCCACTTTTTGAAGAACCGCAATTCTACAAAATCAGTCTCTGATTCTGACTACTCTAGGTGTCTCATAAAAGTGGAATCATACAGTATTTTTCTTTTTGGGTGTGGCCTGTCATAATGTCTTCAGGATTTACCCACATTCTGCCATGTGTCAGAATTTCCTTCCTTTTGAAGGCTGAATAATATTCCATTGGATGCATACTCCGTGTTGCTTATCTGCTCATCCATCCAGTGGGCACTTGGGTTGCTTCCACCTTTTGGCTATTGTGAAAAATGTGATTTTGCCCTGGGGACACTTAGTAGTGTCTGGCGACAGTTTTGGTTGTCATCACTGGAGTGGTGCTGCTTACTGCTAAACATTTGCAAGGCACAAGACAGCCCCACAACCAAGAACAGTCCAAGGCCAGGGGTGGTGGGGCACACCTGTAGTCCTAGCTACTCGGGAGGCTGAGACGGTGGGCGGGGGAGGAATCGATGGAGCCCAGGGGTTTGAGGCTGCAGTGAGCTGATCATGCCACTGCACGCCCAGCCTGGGTGACAAAATGATATCCTGTCTCTACAAATAGAAATAAAAAAAGAATGGGCCAGCTCCAAATGGTAATAATGTGGCTGGGCATGGTGGCTCACACCAGCACTTTGGGAGGCAGAGGCGGGCGGATCACCTGAAGTCAGGAGTTCAAGACTAGCCTGGCCAACATGGTGAAACCCCCTCGCTACTAAAAATACAACAAGTTAGCCAGGCGTGATGGCATGCACCTGTAATCTGAGCTACTCAGGAGGCTGAGGCAGGAGAATCGCTTGAACCCAGGAGATGGAGGTTGCAGTGATCTGAGATTGCGTCACTGCACTCTAGCCTGGGCGAAGAGAGCGAGACTCCATCTGAGAAAAACAAAACAAAACAAATGGTAATAGTGCCAAGGTTGAGAATCCTGACATATTATACCTATCTGAATATTTATACATGTAAATGTGTGTATGTATATGCATATTTTATACTTACATAGATTTTAAACAATTGGACTGGTAGTTTTGTTACCTGTGTTTTTATAATGTATTGTTATAATTAAATTGTCTTTCACATTGTTATATTTTAGTGGCAACTGTAGACACATGCTGTGATTTCTCGCACTCAGCTGCATTGGGGCGTTTTTAGGTGGTTTACCCGTCCCCAGCAGACTTCAGTACAATCAGGCTGTCCCCGAGATAAGTCTATTCTGTGTTGCGTCAGTCTCTTCAGAGAGGAGGACTCATCAGTCGTCCTTGGAACCGGCAAGGGTGTCAGTGTGCTCTGTGGCTAGGGCATTTGGGCTAGGATTGTCTTTCCTCTGGATGTTTATTCTTAGAGGCTGTGGCCAGCCGAGGAAGCAGTCAGCAGTGTTGCCTCTCATAGCCTTGGGTCAGTGTTAACTGGGATCTGGGTGGGGAGGAATGGAGAACTGTGGTGTCCAATGTTGTGCCCCTTCCCCACCTCAAGATCTGCTCAGTTCACAAGGACACAAGCTGACTTTAACGTCTGTCTTCTCCTTCCAAATATAGGCCTCTCCTTCCGATGAAAAGAGAAAGGAAGAATGGATTACAGTCACCAAACGTCCCTAGTCCCATGTGGACAAGATAAATACATTTCCAAGTAAGACATTTTGCTGGAGTGTTGTGTTCCCGGTGGCCAGTCCCCTGCTGGGGTGTTGGGGGTAGATGGCAGCCGCTGGCAGGGGCCTCCCCTGTGTGTCAGACTGGCGGGGCTTGTGTGTGTGGGAAGGAGTCAAGCTGAACTCGGGCTTGTGAGAACATCAGGGCTGCTGCTAGAGATAAAAACATGCCCCCGGAGCCTGGCCTGGAGGGGGGTGGTAAACGGGAAGTCAAGACCTTTGGGGGCTCAAAAGGTGTGGTGCCCTGGAAGGCTTCTAGAAGGAGGAGTTGGCTGGTGGCTGTTCGCTGTCTTCTGAATGTTTGTGTCTCCCTCAAATTCCTATGTGGAAATTTAACTGCAAGGTGATGGTATAAGAGCTGGGACCTCTGAGCTATGATTAGATCTAAGCACCCTTATAGAATAGGCCAAGGGAGCTTGTGTTTCTTTCCATGGTGTGAGGACGCAGTGAGAAGGCACTGTCTGTGCGGAGAGGGCTATCATCAGACACTGACTCTACCTTGACCTTGGACTTCCTGGCCACAGAGCTGTGAGAAGTGAATTTCTGTTGTTTAGAAGCCACCCAGGGTGTGGTACGGTAGCCAGAACGGACTTAGACATTGCTCTCTGTCCTGTCCGTGGTGTTCCCGGGGAGTCCTGGCTGGGGTAGTGTGTCCCTGGGCTGCTCTGGTTCTGGCTAAAATTGGCACAGGTGCCTCCGAATAGAAGGGGACAATTTAATTGCTTTCTATGCACTAAAGTCTCTTAAGCTCAGGCTTTTTGCTAATGTGACTGGGCTTGAGCCACAATAGACCCTTGAATTGGAAGTTCAAGGACATATTTTTATGTCCAGCATAGGGATTTCCCCATCTTTTTCTTTTTCTTTCTTTTTTTTTTTTCTGAGAAGGAGTCTCCCTCTGTCACCCAGGCTGGAGTGCAGTGGCGCCATCTCAGCTCATGGTAACCTCTGCCTTCTGGGTTCAAGCGATTCTCCTGCTTCAGCCTCCTGAGTAGCTGGGAGTATAGGCATGTGCCACCACACCCAGTTAATTTTTGTACTTCTAGTAGAGACAAGGTTTCACCTTGTTGGCCCGGCCGGTCTCGAACTCCTGACCTCAAGTGATCCACCTGCCTGGGCCTCCCAAAGTGTTAGGATTGCAGGTGTGAGCCACTGCACCCAGCCAGGATTTCTCTATCTTAATTAAATATTTAATTTATCTGAGACTAAATTGTTTTAAGTCCTCAGACACACTTGACACTTTTTTTTTTTTGAGACGGAGTCTCACTCTGTTGCCCAGGCTGGAGTGCAGTGGCACAATCTCGGCTCACTGCGACCTCTGCCTCCCATGTTCAAGTGATTCTCCTGCCTCAGCCTCCCAAGTAGCTGGGACTACAGGCACCTGCCACCACACCCAGCTATTTTTTTGTATTTTTAATAGAGACAAGGTTTCACCGTGTTAGTCAGATGGTCTTAATCTTCTGACCTCAACATCTACTCGCCTCAGCCTCCCAAAGTGCTGGGATTACAGGCGTGAGCATGTTAACATCTGACCATTCTGATCTCTTTATGGGCAGATATCCCCAGGGACTTCTACCAACCAGTGATTTTCTCTCCCAGTTTCAGATCTGTGTGTTCAAAAGTACCAAACGGCTTTTTGTCTTAGGTTATTTGGAATCGCCTTTTCCACGAATTCAGTTCAACTTGCATAGAATCACGCTGATCTATCTAGGTTTAACTTGTCAGGAGTTTCTTGGCCTTTCCAGTGGGTTTTGACTCTTGGCATGGTTCCAAATCTCTCCACTGAATGGCTGGGTTCAGAAGGGCTAAACTCTGTCACCTCTTACCTTAGACTAAACAAGGCACACAGCAACCCTGACCCCCTCCACCTCTCTCCCCTCTCATCCCACATGGAGTAGAAAACACCCACTTTTAGATGAAACTTGACTCGTGCATTCTCAGGGTTGATGAGGGATTTCCCTGATCACAAAGCAGGTGAAACCTCCTCTCTGGCCATGTGCAGTAGAGCTGGACTCCCACGGCAGCCACTTGGAAAACCTGGTGGCTAAGGAAGCCCAGTACTAGGCTTCAGAGGGGGAGTTTCTAAGGGTTTATTTATTTTTATTTTTTATTTTTCTTTGAGATGGAGTCCGGTTCTGTCGCCCAGGCTGGAGTGCAATGGTTCGATCTCGGTTCACTGCAACCTCTGCCTCCCGGGTTCAAGCGATTCTCCTGCCTCAGCCTCCTGAGTAGCTGGGACTACAGGTGCCTGGCACCATGCCTGGCTAATTTTTTGTATTTTTAGTGGAGATGGGGATTCACTGTGTTAGCCAGGATGGTCTCAATCTCCTGACCTCATGATCCGCCCACCTCAGCCTCCCGAAGTCCTGGGATTACAGGCATGAGCCACCGCTCCCTGCCCTAATTTTATGAACTGAAAAAGTATTGCAGGGCCTGGAAGCCGCCTCACGCCCACTTCTTGTTACTACTCCCCAAGGTGAACCACTATCCTGAATTCTCACGCCCTATTTTGAACTATATAGCAATGGAATATGATATGTTTTTCTTGTGTCTTTTTTTTTTTTTTTTTTTTTTTTTTTTTTTTTTGCTTTTCTGTGAAAGAAGCTAGATTTAAGAAAAAGCACATATCCTATAATTCCCATGAGAGTCACCCCCAGGCATGTAGTTCATTCACATTCTCTTCGCTGGTAGTATTCTGCTGTGTTTTCACCCATTCTGCTGTTGACGGGAGTTTGCCAGTTTTTAAACACATGATGAGGTCATCTCTATGAAGCATAAGCTGGTGTAGCTCAAACCTGTCCTGTTTAGCTTCTGAACAGCCTGGAAGCTTCTGAATCTTTTTTTTCCTTTCTTTCTTTCTTTCTTTCTTTTTTTTGACGGAGACTCACTCTGTCACCCAGTCTGGAGTACAGTGGTGTGATCTCAGCTGATTGCAACCTCCGCCTCCCAGGTTCAGGTGATTCTCCTGCCTCAGCCTCCTGAGTAGCTGGGAATACAGGCGTGCACCACCATGCCTGGCTAATTTTTGTATTTTTATTAGAGACGGGGTTTCACCATGTTGGCCAGGCTGCTCTTGAACTCCTAACCAAGTGGTCCACCGGCCCCGGCCTCCAAAAGTGTTGGGATTACGGGGTTGAGCCACCACGCCTGGCCAGCTTCTGAATCTTGTGAAGGCTTTTCTTTATTGTCCTTTCCTCATTCACAGCGTGCTTGAAGGAGAAGAGGCCACAGCCAGGCAGGAGATTCGCTGTCTGTGGGCTCTGGAGTGCTTGTCTAAGTTAATCGGTGGCTTATTAACACCTGCTTATTCAGCTAGGTTTGGGAGTGTTGCCACCAATGTCCGCCTCGGTGCCCTGGAGTTGCTCCTTACATTCAGCCTTGTTCTGGGGTGGTGCTCACTCTTGACTTTGATCCTGGGGGAAGATGGTTATGCATAGGATGTAGTGGCCTATTCCGTGTCCTTCAAACCACTCCACTTATGGGGCGGTGGCGGCAGAACCCTGTGTGCATGCACATGTGTGTGTATGTACATGTGGACAAACACCCAAAGTGGGGTGACCGAAGGCCAGGTGAGAGGTGAGAGAAAGAGGGAACAACTGCATAATAAGTGGCTTCAGCTGATAATGTTATATCTGTTGTATTTTTCCTCCTAAGAAATGAACTTCTCTTGCATCTGAAGACCTACAACTTATACTATGAAGGCCAGAATTTACAGCTCCGGCACCGGGAGGTAAGGATTCTTCAGGGAAGGCCCTGACTGGCTATTCCAGGCCTTGTCACCATATGTTCTGGGTCTGAAGGTCCCTGAGGTCCCAAGAGATCCCTGCCTCTCCTGCTTCTCATTTAGGATGCTAGTGAGAGTCCTTGGGGTTCTTTGGAAGAAGACTCCAGGCCCAGTTTTGTTCTAAAAAGGATAAAATTTCAGAGATGTGTTCCAGAGACATTCCTGTAGATGTGTGGCTGGGCTAGCCCAGTCTCATGGGGGAGATTCTCCAGAGAGAGCTTTCATGAAGTGACCTTTCCAGGCAATCCGGGAACCCACCCAGTCCTCTGTGTTTAAACATCTAGGCCCAAGTCCTATCACTGCAGTGACCTGGGCAAAGCACACAACACTCAGAACGGTGGCACTCGCCCTGTCCCCATACCTGGTCGTCCTAGGTTGCCTTTGTTATTCATCTGGCCCCCATCCCGAAACTGAGCTTGCTCTTCCTGTATCCATTTCTCTAAAGGCTGTTATCAGATAGATGATGAGTTATAAAGGAGTCTGACAGAGTAGTTTATACTCAAGCACTCTGGACTGATAAAAACGTCCATATGTGTAATGCCCTTTGAAACACACTTTCAGGTTATCAAGCTGTGTCGATTTAATCCATAGATACAGGTAACAGATGGTGGAATTTCAGCTGCTAGGGCAGGTTGCGTGGGGACAGTGCATAGGATGTAGTGGCCTATTCCGTGTCCTTCAAATCACTCCACTTAGACAAAATCCTGTTTGGGGTTAAACTCTGACCTACAATTGTGTAAAATAATGATGCCCAACTTGACCAGGGGAAGGCCGTGTAAATTGCCTATGTTTACATGCAGCCTTTCTCCCCAGGACTCCGAAGTGCCCTAAAATCGTTTCCTGTCTCTCCTGCCCTCTTTATTCCTTCCTCCCTCTTTGAGGATGATTTTGGGGCCCAAGTGAGTTGCTCATTGGGCTGATGTCATTTTCATGTATGGGGCTTGTCCTGAAGATGTGGCCATGACCCAGATCTGACACTTGGTCAGCCCATAAAACATGGGTTCAGAAAGGTGTTTGTGAGACTAGGGAGAGCAGAGCTGATTCTTTTAGGGATTTCCCTCCAAGCTTTTACTAATCAGTAGCATGGCTATGCAAGATTTTCGTTCTCAAATAGCTTTCCTGGGGTATGTCCTGTAGAATAAAGGATTAAAAGTGTTCCATGATTAAAGGATTTCATATTCGTAAGTGAGTCCCAATTCTTTGGGATAGAACATATAAATGGCCTTACAATAGTTTTACATTTAACATCTAATTAGTCAGCAACCTTTGGGTATAAATTAGGGACTCCTGCAAAATTTATTCACCTGCTGGAGAGTTGTCATGTAGCCCGTTAGTTTATTACAGAACCTGGGACAGTCTGCTGTTAGGAAATCTGATTAGCACAGCCTCTCCCAGCTCACGATCACTTGACACCCTTTTAAAGACAACAGTTCATCTGCTAGAGGAGCCAGTGTTCTGTAGAATAAACTTTGGGAAGTGTTGCTTTAAGTTTCCTTCAAACCACTGGGTTGGATTGCTAAACACTTTTAGCTCAAGAGACATCCTTTTCCGTAGTAGGGGACGGGATGTAGCTAACTCAAGCATTCAGTTCTTGCTTCTGTTAGCAAGGCTAGTCTCACTTCTTTTAAGACATGCATTCTGCTTTCTTTAAAAGTCATTAGGATAAAAAGAAAAAAAATGCTTTTATAATTTGCACATATGTATTTGAATTTCACGGCAACTTTTGTGCTGATCTGTGAGGTCAGCTTCAGGGCTGGGGGAAAGTGTCTCAGAGCTGGGGTGTGAACTGGGCAGCTGCCCCCATCCTGTGAATACAAACTGGGGGCACCCAGCTAGGACATATGAAGAATGTGTCATTTGTCCTTCAGCACTGTCTTGGCTTCCATGGGGGCTTTTCTGGGCTTACCACTCCAATTGCTTTGTGGGCAGGAAGAAGATGAGTTCATCGTGGAGGGGCTCCTGAACATCTCCTGGGGCCTTCGCCGGCCCATCCGCCTGCAGATGCAGGATGACAACGAGCGCATTCGGCCCCCTCCGTCCTCTTCCTCCTGGCACTCTGGCTGTAACCTGGGGGCTCAGGGGTGAGTGAGGAGAGATGGGGCCGGGAGATGACCAGGGTGCCTGGGGGTTCTATGTGTCTCAAGCAGGTAAATGCTGCCCTCTTCCCTGCAGCCCTGATCCTGGCTCCTCCTCCCACCACCTTTACTCTCCACCTGCCTTGAGCTTGGAATGAGGAGCAAGGGGCAGATGTGGTTGTGATTGGGCCCCCTTCCTGTCACCACAATCACTGATGAGGTCACAGGAGGGGAGCTGCTGAGTCACAGGAGGGAGCTGCTGAGTCACAGAGTCCTCCCTCAGGGAGAGCTCTATGCGGAGTTGCTGATGGCTAGTGAGGCCCAGCTTGCAGATTTCTAACAGGGCACCCCATACCCCAGCATCCTCCGCACTGGGACCACTCCTCATAGAATGGCCCTGCTCCAAAGCGTTTACGACTTGAACCTTCTGACCAAAGCTCTCTGAATCCTGGGGAAACTGGAAGAGGAAAAGGAATGTCAGGCTCTGTCAGAGTCAGCCAAGCGAGATCAGCCAGGGGTGTGCTCCCTGCAGACCACATGGGGAGCCAGGGTGTGGTGTGATGGTGGGTAGTCCAAGTCCCCACCAGAAGTGCTGGGAAGACCTATGCTGTCTGTTGTTATCCTCCATGGCTGAGTAAGCCACCGAATGCACCACTGAATGCCCTCTTTATTGTCTTTCTGGGACTTGAGTTTTAGGATCAAGTGACTAGGCTGGCTCCATCCTGAAACCTGCTGATGCTGACTGCCTTCGGCCCCAGCCTGGGTGGAGTATGCTTCCCTCTCGGCCAAAACCACAGTGACCTTTTTTTTTTTTTCTGGTTTAAATGAGAACCAAACCATGTCTGTTGACCACATTGAACACTTTGCTAAACTCCACAGCCAAATCTACGTTTCTCTACAACTGAGAGAACGCTACTATGTGGCCAAACTCTGAAGCTGGTCTGGTTTCTTTCCAAGGGGATTTAAGGAGGAAAATTGTCGCCCACCCCATAGGCGCTAGGTGTCTGGTTCAGGTTCTTTGGTTTCATCTAACTTTGCTGGTTTCATGCTCTGCTTTGCTTTCAGCACTATCACTGTGTTTTTGTTTTGTTTTGTTTTGTTTGAGACAAGGTCTTACTCTGTTTCCCAGGCTGGAGTGCGGTGGCATATTCACAGCTCACTGCAGCCTCAACCTCCCAGGCTCAAGTGATTCCCCCACTTCAGGCTCCCCAGCCACTGGGACTACAGGTGCACACCCCCCGTCTTTTTTTTTTTCTGTTGCTCAGGCTGGATTGCAATGGTGCGATCTCGGCTCATTGCAACCTCTGCCTCTCGGGTTCAAGCGATTCTCTGAGTAGCTGGGATTACAGGTGCCCACCACCACACCCAGCCAATTTTTCTATTTTTTGGTAGAGAGGGTGTTTCGCCATGTTGGCCAGGTTGGTCTCAAACTCCTGACCTCAAGCTGTCCACCCGCCTTAACCTCCCAAAGTTCTGGGACCACAGGTATGAGCCACTGCACCTGGCCCTACCTGGCTAATGTTTGTATTTTTTGTGGAGATGGGGTCTCACTATGTTGCCCAGGTTGGTCTCAAATTCCTGGCCTCGGACAGTCCTCCCATCGTGACCTCCCAAAGTGCTGGGATTATAGCTGTGAGCCACCACACCCAGCGTTATGGCTGTGTTTGATTTCCAATGACCAAGGCCATTTCACAGCCTGACCCTGACCCCACATTTATATTCTATTCCCTAAGTGAGATGACTTTGAAGATTTCATTTGGCCCTGTCGCCTTTGGTTTGGGCTGCCAAGGGCTCCTTCACTCCGCCTGCTTCTTCTCCCCTCTCTGTGGTATCAGGCTGGTCTTGGTTGACTCTTGAAACCTGAAAAATACTTTGGTAGAATTTTCAGGAATGGTAGATGATGTCCTTTAGATGTCAGCTATAATAAAGTGAATGCCTAGACTACTGTCTGTAGAAGGATCCTGAGGCTGGGCCTGGTGGATCACACCTATAATCCTAGCACTTTGAGAGGCCGAGGAGGGCTGATCACTTGAGGTCAGGGGTTTTGAGACCAACCTGGGCAACATGGTGAAACCCTTGACTCTATAAATAAAGAAAGAAAGAAAGAAAGAAAGAAAGAAAGCCAGGCACAGTGCATGGCTGTAATCTCAGCTACTTAGGAGGCTGAGGCAAGGAGAATCACTTGAACTGGGAGGCGGAGATTGCCGTGAGCCAAGATCACACCACTGCACTCCAGCTTGGGTGACAGAGACTCTGCCCCCCGACCCAAAAAAAAAAAAAAAAAAAAAAAGCGAAGGATACTGAGACCAGTTGCTACTTCAGCAAGAAAGAGGGCTTTAAATCAGGGAGTGGGAAGTGGCTGCCCTGGGTGCCAAGGGTTCACCATTCCCCAGAGGCTCTGGCCAGGTCCATTTTGTGGCTCAGAAGTGTATGAGTTAAACTACAATAGGAAGTTCTCTTAGATTTTCCATTTTAATTGACCTCCCTTAAAACAATCCTACCCAGAACATGAAGTTTATCTCTCCTGGGCCCCAGGGAGCCCATGCTCTTCTCACCATGGGTTGGTCCTCATTGGTCAAATATGATTCTCCTTTCCAGCCAAATCCTCTGTTGATTTTGAATGTTTTTCTGAGCTGCTCTCTTTGTCCTTTTTGGCTTCGAGAAGTTATTTGCCAGTTATGATGGCAAACCAGGGTCTCAGCTTGGACGGCCTCCTCCTAACCCTTTCTTCAGCCTGGATGAGGACTCCGTCCGTGCAACCCTGAGAGCACTGTCAGTGCCCTTCCAAAGCTGCCCCGGCCCTTGTAGTGGCCAACCTGTTACTCCCCATTCCTTTTCAATGCCAGAAGCAGTTATGAGTTATTTCAGAAGCAATGAGTCTGAACTGGAATCTTACCCTGCGAAACAAATGGCTATTATTGGAGTTTTCCAAATAAGCCACAGAACCCATACATGCTTGGAAGCAGTGCAGGCAGCACATGGGTTTTGTTCTTTGGCGTCCTCCATCCTAGGCTGGATGAAGCCGATGCGTGTGTTGCTGCAGATGCTGGAAAAGAACATCTTCTCCCTCCAGAACTCCCCCTGCTCCACCCACTGCTTGGCCTGGGAGCTGGGCCAGCCTCATGGGATGCTCGGCGCAGCCCATCTGCACCCTTCATCACCTGATGTGTGCCAATACCCAGCCTGGCACTAGCAAAGTTCTCCCCTTGCAGGAGTGGGGTCCGGCGGGTGTGGGGCATCTCTCCACAGGGGTTAAACTCGTCTCTCCTCTCCCCTTTGTCCACCCCCAGAACCACCCTGAAGCCCCTGACTGTGCCCAACGTTCAGATCTCAGAGGTGGATGCACCACCGGAGGGTGACCAGATGCCAAACCCCACAGGTACATGTGTGGGGGAAGGTGCTTCCAGCTAGGGACCAACCATGTGAAGACCGCTGTGGTAGATGGTATAAACTTATTTATTTTTGAGAATATGAAATGTATATGCTTCAAGATTCAAAGGGAGAGAATGAAGTCACCCTCCTCATCCACCCACCTAGAAGCATCCCAAGAACATCCTTCCTGAGATAGTCTATCCAAATATAGGCAAAGCACATCGACATACCTTTATGGGTGGATGTAGTTTTTCCGCCCTCCCTCCCTCCCTCCTTCCATTTCCTCCCTCCTCTCCTTTCCTCCCTCCCTCCATCCCTCCCTCCCTCCCTCCCCTTCTGTCCTTCCCTTCTCTCCCTCCATCCCTCCCTCCCACCTTCCTTCCTTCCTTCCTTCCTTCCTTCCTTCCTTCCTTCCTTCCTTCCTTCCTTCCTTCCCTCCCTCCCTCCCTCCCTCCCTCCTTCCCTCCTTCCTTCCTTCCTTCGTGAATCTTGGCTCAGTGCCTCCCGGGTTCAAGTGATCTTCCCTCTCCAGCCTCCTGAGTAGCTAGGATTAAAGGCATGTGCACCAAGCCCAGGTAAGTTTTATATTTTTAGTGGTGACAGGGTTTTGCTGTGTTGGCCAGGCTGGTCTTGAACTCCTGGCCTCAAGTGCTCTGCCCACCTCAGCCTCCCAAAGTGCTGGGATTGTAGGCATGAGCCACTGCGCCTGGTCAGATGTAGTCTCTTTTCTTTACCTATTTCTGCAAGCGGTAGCATTTTGCACATTCGTTTTCATTGATCAGTTTATCTGGGGAACTTTTCCTTACAAATTTATAAAGAACTTCCTCATTCTTTACAGCTCTGCATTATTTCATTGTATGGAAAAAGCACAATTTATGTCATCACTCCTTTTTGATAGACAGTTAAGTCATTTTCAGTCTCTGCTCTGACAAGTTTGCAGTCAGTGGCCTTATACATGTGTCACATCACACATTTGTCAGCACGTACGATTCTCAAGTGGAATTTCTGGGTTTAAATTTTCATAGATATTGTCAGTTTGCAAAATCTTTTTTAGATAACATGGATTAAGTATATTTTAATAAGATCTGATTAATCTACTTATGATTAATGTCAACATTTTATATTTATGTACATACAAGATAGAAATATGCCATGGGAACCCCATATATTTTTATATGTATGCTCTATTAAGCATTATTTTTTCTAATTTTTTATTGTGGTAAGATCTACATAACATTTACCATCTTAACCATTTCGAGTGTACAGTTCGGTGGTGTGAAATACACTCATAATGTAAACCATCACCACCATCCATCTCCACAACTCTTCCCATCTTGTGAAACTGAAACTCTGCACCCGTTAAACTCCCAATAGCTCCCCAGATCCTTTCCCTCTAGCCCCTGACAACCACCATTCTACTCTCTGTCACTGTAATTTTGAATGTACCTAGAACGTACTTAGAGTGTACCTCAGTTATATGATGTACACTTATATGAGGTACACCCTAAGTAACTCATATAGCTGGAATCATTCAGTATTTGCTGTTTTGTAATTGACTTGTTGCATGGAGCATAACGTCCTCAAGGTTCATCCGTGTGTAGCATGTGTCAGGGTTCGTTTGCGGTATCTTGTTACCTGCCTGTGCCAGGCACTAGTCTAAGCGTTTTATGTGTATCAACTCATTTAAACCCTTAGCAATCCTCTGAGATGGATATTATTATTATCCCCATTTTATATATTAAAATACTGAGGCACAGAGAGGTTAGTGATATATGGCAATCATGGAGCTGGGATTTGAACCCAGGGAGCTCGGGTCTGAAGTGTTTTCTGAACTTTTCACTGTATAGCTTCTCTATAAATTCTGCATTATGTCTTCCCCCAGCAGAAAATACTATTTGTATAAAATATGTTTTTATATATATTTTTATATATATATATAAACAGAATATATATATATATTATATATATATATATAAACAGAAAATACTATTTGTATAAAATACATGTTTTTAGAGACAGTGGGTGCTGTAGCACTGGCCACAAGGAGAGGAATTCTCATTTGCCTCTCTTCTCTCAGACTCCAGGGGCCTGAAGCCCCTGCAGGAGGACACCCCACAGCTGATGCGCACACGCAGTGATGTTGGGGTGCGTCGCCGTGGCAATGTGAGGACGCCTAGTGACCAGCGGCGAATCAGACGCCATCGCTTCTCCATCAATGGCCATTTCTACAACCATAAGGTAAAGTGGACGGGGGGACAGGGGAGGGGGATGACCCCTTCCTGGGTAGCTGTCACCTCAGGGCTACAGCCATGTGGTGGGTGGTGCGATCCCTGGGAAGTCAAGTGTGTGCTGCTGTTTAGTCTTTGGGTTGTGGGTGGGCTGCAAGCCCTGCTGGCTCCTGAGGGTGGAGGGACCCCAGGTCAGAAGGCTCAGAGCCCCCCTGTGGGTTCCCCCTAGGGTGGTGGGTGAATTCAGTGGGGCTATACAAAGCAGTCCCTGCTGTAGCCTTGAAGACCCCATAAACACAGCTCCTCAGTCCCTCACAAGAAAATCCATGTTACACCCTCTTCCTGCGCACTGTGCCCCCAGTTGGTGTATGGTCTGGCTTTTCCTGGAGCTCAGCGCTGCTTCCGAAGCAGAGCTGCAGGTCTCAGTCCTGGGGGTGTCAGTGCACCACCAACCCCACCTGAGCCAGCTGACCCCGCCTTTCCTCCTGCTCTGTTCAAATCCTGCCCCTGGAGGGAAGTGCATGGTGGGAGAATGGTCAGAGACAGCCTTGTGCCGAAGTCCCAGCGGAAGGGTCTTTGTGAGTGTGGAGCATGAACTGAATTATGCAAACCCCTAGGGCTGCTTTGTCTGTAAAGCCTGCTGCTTGCCAGGCTGCCGACGACGGCTCCCAGGGGGTACGTTGTGAGTATCGTCACTGTGCCCTGTACCGCACCTGGATTTTAGCACTGGGTCCTTGTTCCCACTCCCACCCTGAGCTGGCCCCTTCTGTCGACAGACATCCGTGTTCACGCCAGCCTATGGCTCTGTCACCAACGTCCGCATCAATAGCACCATGACCACCCCACAGGTCCTGAAGCTTCTGCTCAACAAATTTAAGGCAAGTTCCCTTTGCTGGCTGTCCACGGATAGGGTCGCAGGTGTGCCCTGGGACCCCTAGAGTGGTTGTGCGGGGAGCTATGGGAATTGTATGGTTTGCGGGATGCTGGGCAGAGGGCTTGGGTGCTTTAGATCCTCATGATCCAAGACAAGGTCCACAGCATCAGCATCACCTGGGTGCCTGTTAGAAATTCAGATTCTCAGTCCCCACCCCAGACCCGCTGAATCAGAAATTGTGAGGGGTAGGCCGGGGACACCGTCTAAAAAGCCTACAGGGGGTTCGGATACCTACCAAAGTTTGAGAAATATCAGCCCTCAAATCCTTTATGGGCTACTGGCTACTTTAGAAGGACCCTGGGGTCTGATGACTAGTTTTGGGCTCAGTGCAAAGATTGACTTCTGGGACACAGCTGGGAAACCTACTTATATAAAATATGATACTTAAATAGATGTGTAAATTATAGTGTGGGAGTGCTTTTAAAATCCTGTTGCTCTGTGTTTTCCGCAATTTCTTGGAGACCAGTGATCTTTTGGAGACCAGGTATTCTTATTTTTAGTGGAAGCCAGTGTAGCCTAGCAACCTAAGAACACTCTGAGTTCAGATCTCCATTGAGCAACTGTGAGTTGGATGAATTGGGCGGGCGACTTAACCTACCTCTGCCTCTGCTTCATCATCGTGAAATGAGGATAATGGGACCTCGCTGCGGTATTGTCGGGAGCATTAGATGGGTTGAAACCTTTAACACTTATAGAACTATGCGTGGCATATTGCAATAGACAACAGCTATTATCTATCCTAGTCATGTGCCACGGAACGACCCATTTGGTCAGTGATGCACCACATATACGACGGCGGTTCCGTAAGATTATAATCCATTTTTTACTGTACCTTTTCTGTGTTTATGTATGTTTAGACACACAAATGCTTCCCATTGTGTTACAAGTGCCTACAGCATTGAGTATAGTAACATGCTGTACAAGTTTGTAGCCTAGGAGCAATAGCCGTACCATATGGCTTAGGTGTGTCGTAGGCTGTGCCATCCAGGTTTGTGTTGGTACTCTCTGTGATGTTTCCACAATGAAATTGCCTAGTGACACATTTCTCAGAATGCATCCTCTTGGTTAAGCGCATGACTGTATTATTGATAAACTCATCTGCCTTCTCATCATTTCTGAGAGTTGTAGATAAATAGCTCTCCCCTCAAAACAGCCTAAAATATACTTAGCTTTGCATTGTTAAAGAAGAGAAAAAGGCTCGAAACTGGGATGTTTAAATAAACACTTTCAATAAGTATCTTTTGTTCCTGCTTCAGATTGAGAATTCAGCAGAGGAGTTTGCCTTGTACGTGGTCCATACGAGTGGTGGTAAGTCTGAAGGCTACAGTGTACTTTAAAACTTCTAATTATCTCAAAATAGCAAGTTAAAAAAATACCTCTGCCTCCTTTTCTTGTTGTTTGGGTTTTGGACTTCCAAATGTTGTTTGCTTTCAAGGCTGATGGGCTTGTCAGTAAACAAATCCTAAACCTAACTGCCTATTAAAAAACGAACTAGATTTTCTCAAGAGACACATAAACCCAAATCCTCCAAGGGGTTTGAGGCATGGTGGTGCTGTTGAGGGGGGAGGGGAGTGGGAGGAGGTTGCTTTTTACATCTATGGAATAGTTCATTTATAAATCAGTCTCCTGACTTATATGGCGGCATCTCCTAAGGTGCCTGGTCCATTCGAACCCCTGCGTTGACCACTACTTAATGTGAGAAAGGCCTCAGGCCAAACTCAGGGCTGCCGCTGGTTGTGTGTGATTACAGAGAAACAGAAGCTGAAGACCACCGATTACCCGCTGATTGCCCGAATCCTCCAGGGCCCATGTGAGCAGGTCTCCAAAGTGTTTCTAATGGAGAAGGACCAGGTGGAGGAAGTCACCTATGATGTGAGTCCCCTTTGGGTCAGGTGTTCTGTCCTCAGGAGGTTGGGGATTTGGTTGGGTCACCTGCAACTAGGGTATGGAATGACTTTTTTGACCAATGCTCCCTTTTATGCCGTTCTTCAGTACCAGGTTCTCTTGAAGCCAGGCTGAAGGTAGGAGTTGCTGGAGGAATGCCCAGGCAGAAAGTGATTTCCATAGAAGGAGTAAATTGCTTGAACCTTCCTAGGGTACTGTGAGAGGGATGAGAAATGTCTGCAAACACTCTTTTAGCAATGCTAGGATGTTAGCAGTTGGCTGGTTGTGGTGGCTCACTCCTGTAATCCCAACAGTTTGGGAGGTCACTGCAGGAGGACTGCTTGAGACCAGGGATTTGAGACTAGTCCAGGCAACAAAACGAGACCTTGTCTCTACAAAAAACTTTTTTAAAGTAATCGAGCATGGTGGTGTGTGCATGTGGTCCCAGCTACTTGGGAGGCTGAAGTGGGAGGATCAGTTGAGCCCAAGTGGTCTAGGCTGGAGTGACCTGTGATGACACCACTGCACTTCAGTCTGGGTGGTAGATACAGCAAGACCCTGTCACACACACACACACACACACACACACACACACACACACAAATACAAGAAGTGAGCCATCTTGGAGCACGAGAAACCAGGCCAAATCACGTAAGCATATTTGAAGCCACCACTCAGATTTGGTGTGTCATGTCCACACACATTCCATTGGCCAAAGCCAGTCACATGGACGAGCTCAACATTAATAGGGTAGAGAAATATACTTCTCCCAGGAAGGAGAGTTGATAGAGCAGGGTGGGGATTCTGGTGGGGGAAGGAAAGCCATTTTTTTATTTTTATTTTTTTTAAGGTGGAGTCTTGCTCTGTTGCCCAGGCTGGAGTGCAGTGGCACCTCCCTGGTTCAAGCGATTTTTCCTGCCTCAGACTCCCAAGTAGCTGGGACTACAGGTGTGTGCTACCATGCCTGGCTAATTTTTGTATTTTTAGTGGAGGCAGGGTTTCACCATGTTGGCCAGGCTGGTCTTAAACTCTTGACCTCAAGTGATCCACTGGCCTCAGCCTCCCAAAGTGCTGGGATTACAGGCGTGAGCCGCCATGCCTGGTGCCATTTTTAAACTTTAACTCACCCCAGAGGCACCCACAGCCTCTCCAAAAGCAAGTTCATATTTGGATGCTTATTTGAGTCTTGAGACCCAATTCGTCATTCTGAACCCTCGTTCTTTCCATTCTCTTAGGGCAGAACAAACGGGTTTATTAAACATAATGGGCTTGGTTCTTTCTCTGCATTACTGTATCAAGAGAAAGTGCTTTTCTATGTTTGGTGTCACTTTATCATGAACTGAATGCATTACATGAAAAATGAGAAGTTATGAGATGGTGTCACATAAGTGAAGTGATTGTCACAGACTCCTTCCCAACCTGGAGAGGAATGATACTTGGCTCCTGCCTTTAAGGAAATCCTGGGTTTCTGGGAAAAAAAAAAAAAAAAAAAGACTTCCCAAGGCTTTGTGCCTTGTATGAGGATGGCCCTGAAAGGAATTGGAGCGATGCTGGGAAGGGCATGCACCCAGACGTGCTTCTTTCTCCCCAGGTGGCCCAGTATATAAAGTTCGAGATGCCAGTACTTAAAAGCTTCATTCAGAAGCTCCAGGAGGAAGAAGATCGGGAAGTAAAGAAGCTGATGCGCAAGTAAGCGTGGCCTCTGGGGCCCTGGGTGCACTTCTCCTGGGCCTCAACAGAGGGGCCTCTGTTAGGTCCTCGCAGGGACTGTGCTGAGCTGCTGCATGGGCCTGGGTCTCTGGGCTTTCTTCGGAGGGGGGGCTGCCCATTGACAAATCTGGATTTCAAGTGGGGACATGACAGTGTCATGTGTTCATCTCTCTACTTCTTGTGTCAACTTCTCATTTTGTTGTGGAACATCAAGGTGTCTTTTGTCCTCCCTCTTATGGAAAGACTCTGCAAAGGTGTTGGTTTAAAATTTCTTTGGGGTCTAGATTCAGAAATAGGGGAGGTGACTGTGCCCTGGTTTCTTAAGTATATGATCAGGCTCCCAGCAGGAGATAGATGCTCATTCCGATGAGGGTCTTGGAGGGGTGTTTGATAGAGGGACTATTTACAAAGACTTGGGCAGAGTCTGGGGTAACTTCAAGGGGCAGTGCAGTCCCTGGGGCTAGTGTTATCGCCACTTGCCTGAGGGGTGAGGGCAAGGAGTGCTAACCAAGACCCGGAGGTTCCAGAGATTTTAGGAAGGCTGTCTTAGCAGTGGAAGTAGCCTGCCCCACTGACCTCTAAAAATCCTTTCTTCTCCCGCTTCCTCCCTTTGTAACATTTCTCTTCTGGAAATTGCATTTTGATTGAAAAACAAAGCTTCTTTCTGGGGAGGATTTTGTGATTTATTTGCCACGTGTAGTCATAAAAGAGATTGCCTTTCATAGATGTGGTTGAATAAGTGATTAATGTTTGCCACTGGAAAATACAGCCAATGCTGGATTTGCTGTATCAATGATCAGAACTAGTCTGGTAACATTTACTGAACACTTACTATGTCCTAAACTTTTTTTTTGACATGGAGTCTTGCTCTGTCATCCAGGCTGGAGCGCAATAACACGATCTCTGCCCATTGCAATTCCCACCCCCAGACTCAAGTGATTCTCCCACCTCAGCCTCCCCAGTAGCTGTGATTACAGGCATGTGCCACCACACCTAGCTAATTTTTTTGTATTTTTAGTAGAGATGGGGTTTTGCCATGTTGGTCAGGCTGGTCTTGAACTCCTGACCTCAAGTGATCCACTCGCCTCGGCCTCCCAAAGTGCTGGGATTACAGGCGTGAGCCACTGCGCCTGGCCAACTCTGTCCTAAACTTTAAAAATAGCTTTTACCGTGCATCAAAAAGGCCTGAACATAAAGAATATGTCTATTTATCCCTGGACGACAGTGCCCACTCCTGTAGCTGCAGTGCCATAGCTCGGGGAAGTCATGGGAAAACTGAACTGCCCCCAAGCCACAGACCTCCATGCCTGGTAGCTGCTATGGCCTCCTCTGCAGAATGCAGGTTCTAATATAGGGTTGGACCACATGGAGTTGCCATTTTTGTGGGGCCCCCCAAGAGGGTCAACTGTTAGCAATTTTATATCATCTAGCCTAGGTGAGGATTCATGAGCTACTGTGCATATGAAGTACTATGCATAGTGTCTTGGACATAGTAAGCAAACCCACTGAATTCGTAGAATGCTTATTATTTCTGTTGTTATTTTTTTACCTTTTTTTTTTTTTGATCAGATGTTCTACCCATAGTAAATAATCTAATTTGGATTTGGCCTCTTTATTTCCTCTCACTGTGTTGTAGGAATGAACATAAGCAACAAAGTGGCTAAAGAGGGGTAGGGGTCAGTAATGGAAGCAAAAGAGCAGGGCACTTGACTGCACTGGTACCTGGTGTGACCTTGGTGTTACCTGGGTGGCCGGGAAGGTCCTAGGGAAGTGTGTGTTGCTGGCTGCTCTCCCCCTGAGCCTGTTTCTTGTCTCCAGGTACACTGTGCTCCGGCTGATGATTCGGCAGAGGCTAGAGGAGATAGCCGAGACCCCAGCAACAATCTGAGCCACGAGAACGAGGGGATCTGGGCACCCCAGGAGCCGCCATTGCCATAAGACCCCCCCAGGAAGCTGGGCACTTTCTTTCCATGGAAACATTTAGACGCAAACCTCCCCAGCTCCGGCCAAGTCATCATTTGCTACCAGGAGCTGGATGTAGAAGTCAGCAGACAGTTCCCCATCCCTGGACACCTGCTCTCCCTTCTTCCACTCGCAAGGACTTTTGATTTTGGTTATAAGGAGGACCCAAAATGTGTGTGTGTGCATGTGTGTGCACACATGGTACGTGTCCATGTGCCTACCTGATACTTTCACATGTAATTAAATTCCAGGCAACCAGCACAAGAGCCGTGAACCTGGCAAATGTGCTGTTTATGGGCCAGAAAATCAGAGGAACCATGATCTGAGGGGTATTTAGGTTGAAGGAAAGATTTCTCCTCTCAAGCGCCACAGAGCAGCCACCTGTCTGCCTGTGTTTAGAAAGGGAAGAGGGTTCTCCAGGTTCACCATTTGGGTTGTTTATATGTTGGTAGAAATTCTCCCTGTGTTCCTAGCTGGATCAGTGAATGTGAGAGCCTTGGAAATTAACAAAATAATAGCCACATTATCTTGAGGGAAGTCTGATGGAAATAAAAAGATAAATCATCCGTGGGGTAGATGCAATAAGCCCCCATGTTTTTACACTGGAAACTTTGATCGTTTTGAATGACAAAGACATATGTGATGTTCTACGTGGAAACCTGTAAAAAGTGGATTCGGCCTCTGTCCTCGCCTCCATGGCTACCTGTAGGAGACAGAGAGGATCCTGTGTGTTTCTCTGTACCCAGCTGTCAACCCATCTCTCTGGTGCTTCTTTGAGTGGAAGGAAACATCTCAAGAAACAAAGATCTCATTGGTGTGCACACGGGGCTGACCAGCTAGTGTGGCCAGGGCCTGGTGGCCAGGAAGTTTCAGGCTGAAGGGTACTGTCGAGCCTACCCACAGAAATGACAGGTGCCTTGAACACAGCCCATCTTCACGTCATCAAGGGTCTTCCTGCATTTGAAGCCATGTTTGCAGTCAAGACTTTATTCTTTCCAACCTCTGGGTTCTTGCCAGTTGCCCTCACCTTGCGTGTGGAAATGCATTCCAAGAATGAAGCCTCATCTTGGTGATGACTGACTGAGCATGGGGTTCAGAGAAGCTCTTTAGGCCACCTGGTGAAGGTGCATGGGGAGGATGGGGCTTCTTTCTTAGCTTCTCTGAGCAGCCACCTAGGTGATCTTTAGAGTCAACCCCAGTGCGGGGAAAGGGCAACAACTCCCATCAGGACGCTTGCCAGGCAGCTGGGCAGCAGTGCAGCTGATACAGTTTGAGGAGGTAGACAGATGCTTGGACCTGGGTGCCTGGCTGTAGAGATCAACCAAGCAAGACCAGGAGCTTCTAAGAGTGGGCGTCTCTGACATCTCTGAGCCCTGCTGGGGTAAGATACTGTCTGTCTCTTCTCCACCTTCTCTCCAAGGAAGGTTTGCAGGGCTGGGCAGTTGAGGAAAGGACAGACCCTGGTTGGCGCTTCCAAAGGAAGGTGGACCTTTTT